TATATATATTTTTTTTTTTTTTCTTTCTTTCCAACATATATATAACATGCTAGTCACTGGTATAATGGTATTCAATGAAACAACCGGGTTGAAATATTAAGGGAGTATTTGTTACATGAAAAATTTTCCCTCACAGAAAATGAATTTGAAAATATTAATTATTCATATTTAATTTATTATTAAAAAACATTGTTAATCGAAGAATCTAAGACATTATTTTTTACAAAACTATTTTTATTAGGTATAATATTATATTTTTGAAAAATTTATTTTCAGCAATATTATATCCAAAATTTTCATAAATGCATTTGTTTGACATTAATAATTTTAGAAACAAAATATTTTGTCAATTAAAAATGAAGAATACAAAGTGAGTGAAGAAATATGAATGAAAAAGTGAAAAGATTTGTACTTATTAAAAAAAGTAAATTTTATTATCTTGAAAATATAAAATATCCATCCTCCAACATGAAAATAGGAAACATGTAAGTTACAAAAGTTTGACATTCTAGGTAATAAAAACATATTTGAAAATATTTTTTTAACCGCCTAATAAATGAGAATAAATATTTTAATTTTTTTAATTTTAAGAAATACCAAAAGATTTCCACGTAAGAAACGCCCCTAATAATAATTAAAAAAAAAAACAGAAATAGGGTAACACAGATATTCTCTCTCTCGAGAATCTTCTGTCTTAACCAAATCCTGTCTGGTTTTGTCATTTGTGTTTTGTTTATATTTTATTTTTCGTGGCAAAGCATGCATCGAAGGAAACAACGCGTTTCTGCATTCGCCAACGGGGCAATTGCGCTAACCATGTTTTCAAATTAGTGCTGCGTTTCTGCGTTTTCAAATTGTACCCAATTCCCATTCTCAATTTCTTCTTCTCGTATTCCGGAGATTGAAATTGAGATTGGCGGAAGGTAACAAAAAAGAAGAAAAAAAATGTTAGAAAAGTGTTTGGGAGCTCAAAGGGCGAAAAGGTTCCAGCGAGCTCTCAGGCATTGCAAGGTCACGATCCTCTGCTTGTTCCTCACCGTCGTTGTCCTGCGCGGCACCATCGGCGCCGGCAAGTTCGGCACGCCGGAGCAGGACTTCGTCGACATCCGCAACCGCTTCTACTCCCGCAAGCTCCCCGAACCCCAACGTCTTCTCGGCGAGCTTCATTCCACAACGACGTCGGTTTCCTCCTCCGACTCTTCCACCAACAACTACAATGCCTTCGACATCAACACCATATTGCTCGACGAACCAGAAGAAGAAACAGACCGCGAGAATTTCAACTATCGTCTCGGCCCCAAAATCTCGGATTGGGACGAACAGAGATCTCGCTGGCTCCGCAAGAACCCTGATTTCCCGAATTACCTTCGACCCAACAAGCCTCGTGTGCTTTTGGTAACTGGGTCGTCGCCGAAACCGTGTGAGAATCCCGTTGGGGATCATTACCTTTTGAAGTCCATTAAGAACAAAATTGATTATTGTCGTTTGCATGGGATTGAGGTTTTTTACAATATGGCCCTTCTCGACGCTGAAATGGCGGGGTTTTGGGCTAAGCTTCCTTTGATTAGGAAGCTTCTTTTGTCTCACCCTGAGGTGGAGTTTTTATGGTGGATGGATAGTGATGCCATGTTCACGGACATGGCGTTTGAGGTGCCATGGGAGAGGTACAAGGAGTATAACTTGGTGATGCATGGGTGGGATGAGATGGTTTATGATGACAAGAATTGGATTGGGTTGAACACTGGGAGTTTTCTGTTGAGGAACTGTCAGTGGTCGTTGGATATTCTTGATGCTTGGGCTCCAATGGGGCCCAAGGGTAGGGTTAGGGATGAGGCTGGGAAAGTGCTCACGCGTGAGCTCAAGGATAGGCCTGTTTTTGAAGCTGATGATCAATCTGCCATGGTTTATTTGCTGGCTAAGGAGAAGGAAAAGTGGGGTGGGAAGGTTTATCTTGAGAATGGTTATTACTTGCATGGCTATTGGGGGATTTTGGTTGATAGGTACGAGGAGATGATTGAGAATTATCGTCCTGGTTTTGGTGACCATAGGTGGCCCTTGGTGACTCATTTCGTGGGGTGCAAGCCTTGTGGGAAGTTTGGGGATTACCCTGTTGAGAGGTGCTTGAAGCAGATGGATAGGGCTTTCAATTTTGGGGATAATCAGATTCTGCAGATTTATGGGTTTACGCATAAGTCGTTGGGTAGTAGGGGAGTTAAGAGAATACGGGATGAGACTAGCAACCCTCTTGAGGTCAAAGACGAATTTGGGTTGCTTCATCCATCATTCAAAGCAGTCAAGGTATCATCATCTAAATGAGCATGTCGGTGTTGGTGGAAAATGTCATGTTTAGTTACAGAAATAGGAGTTTTTAGCATTTTCGCTCTTCACGTTTATTTGTCATAGTTATATATATATACATATACTAATTAAATGCTGTTGATTAATTTGTAGCCTCTCTCTCTCGGTCTTAAGTTTCTCAACTAATGTTTGTAAATTATTCATATCCGTGGATTGTAAGTTTGTAACACAAAATTTGTACAATGGAAAAAGTTGCATTTGCATGGTGGTTCTGCACATATCACTATTCGTTGTCAATGGTCCCTTGTAGCTTTAATCTTTGTTTCTATTGGTAGTTATGAAGTTAAAATATCCATTGCACTATCGGTTGGGGATCTGATAGTACAAGGAATTATCGCAATCTCAATTCTTAACCGAATTTTACATTATATCTGTATTCCTAGGGTTTTGGACTTTTTTGATTTTAATCTCGTGTATGAAAATTGTGTCTAAATCTTTCTTATGAAAACTGAGCTGCAATTTAATAATTAATATGGTCCATGCGAAACAGTGAATGGACTCCCTGCCCATACAAGTTTATAAGGCTATATGTGATTTAAAATAAATCTAGATTTAGAGGCAGGAAAAACAATACTTTGTCTGCATTGTTACTGAATTCATGACCATTCATTGTTATTATTAGCCTGGTTCCCTGGTGGAGTCGTTGAGTCAGCAGGTGACGTGCTAAGTCAGAAGTCAGATTCAATGGTTGAATGGATCAACCTTCTAGGCCAAACTAGTCATATAGCTGCTTCAATTTCTTTTTGATAAAAAAAATAACACACCTTACACGTTACATTCAGCCTTCCCTATTTTTTTTTGATCAAATCTCATTTTCATGATCTGGTTTTTGTCTTACTTTCCTCTCGTCCTATGGCTTCAATTCGTTTTTTCCTGCTGTATCAAACCCCACTCTAGTTTCTAAGAGCCGTGGTATGCTTAGGAGAAGGTAACGTCCGTCTTATTTCTGTAAACAATACTATGTTTTTGCCTCTTCATTAAGGTAACTTGAGACTACATAGTAATATTTAAACACTCGCGTATATGTTTCCAATCCCCCCGGATATAGCGCTGTTATAAATTTATAACCAAGAGAGAGTAATGAAAAGAACATTGGACATCCTATGCACCATAGTAAAGAAGAGGATGACAAAAAAATAAAAATAAAATAGAAACGTCAAATTTGTGTTTAGTTTATGTCAAGTTTCTAAAAGGAAACCGTAACGTAACATACTAAACAATTAGTTTACTCAATAGATTTATCTGGATTAAAATCCATCTAATAAAACGTTTCAAGTAAAATTCAGCTATTAAGTAAATAAAGTTACAGATTCTGTTTATACATATAGATCCCTCACGAATAAATAGTTGGTGAAACCAATTTTAAAAAAGAAAACAAAAAGTAGAAAGTTTCTGAAATTTAAAAGATCTGAAAACACGGTAAAATTAAAGAGCAGAGCAGAAAGCAGAAAAAAAAGAAAAAAAAAAGAAAGAAAAGAGAGTACAACATATGTTATTTACAACATGAACATGTGACGTGATAGTATACAGAAGCATAAGCATACTACGTAACAGAGTCTGGAGTCCATCGACATGTGATGCGTTGAGTTCAGAGAAAAAGGAGCTTAAGATTTACAAGAGACAGAAAAGCGATCCATGCCAAAGAAGGCTTGACGAGATCAGCGGCGATGGGATTGACGGGGCGAAACGCACGGAAGCAGGCGAGCTGGGTGAGAAGCAAGGCTAAAGAGAGGATGAAGCCGAGACGTGTGGCCCCAGCGGCGAAGACAAGAGGATCCCACAGTACTGCGAGAAGGAGGTGAGTGAAGTAAAGAAAGAGAGCCGTGGGGTTCCTGTGAAAGCCTCCGTCGGCCCAGACCATCCAGGCGGCGAGGCCCATCAAGAAGCTTGAAGCCGGACACGTCAAGTGTAGGGCCCATGAGGGTGGGAACCAGAAGGGCCTTGCCGTTGCCGTAGTAAGAGCATGATTGGAAGCTATGGAAGCTGATAAAGCGGAAAGCGAGAGAGGGAGGGAAGCAGAATCTAGATTTTTATTAGAGAAATTCTATGGTACTCATCTTATTTGAGAGAGTTATTTATGATATTTTATTCTTTCAAATTTTAAATTATTTAGTTATTTTATTTTTATTTTATATATTCTAATTTATTTGTAATAATATTATTATATATTTAAATAGTTTAATTTTAATAATTTTTTAAGTATATTTTTATCTTTTCACTTAAAATCTTTGAATTTTTATATTTTAATTTTAATAATTTTTTAAGTATATTTTTTGTCTTTTTGTCTTAAATTTTTGAATTTCTATATTGTAATTTTAATAACTTTTTATTTCTACTATTTATTAATTTTTT